GGCGCCGCAGCAGGCGGGTTCGCCCTCGGCGCGTCGTTTCCGGGCGTGCCAGCTGGCGCCGTCTCGAGCGAGCTGCAGTCGGAGCAGCTGACGTCAGACATGATGGGCCTACTCGACCAGCATTTCGTCGCCCACTCGTGCGGCGGCGGTGCGCGCGGTGGCGGCGGCGGTGCGCCGGCGCCGTTCCGCGCAGAGGAGCAGCCGCTGCAGCCGCCGGTCGGTGGAGCAGCTCGAGCCGAAGACATGACCACGACACGTCCATGACACGTCCGAGACATGTCCTGTAGCCTCCGGCTCAGGAGCTCGAGCTGAGCAGCAGCCACAACGTGAGAGGCGGCGCCGCCGGCGCCGAGGCGGGCCTTCCCGTGGCGGCGCCCTCGGAGCAGGAGCAGCCCCGCCCCGATGAGGCCTAGACACTCCCGAGACACTCCCGAGACACTCCCGAGACACTCCCGAGACACTCCCGAGACACTTCCGAGACACTCCCGAGACACTCCCGAGACACTTCCGAGACACTTCCGAGACGCTTCCTACACACGTCCCAAAAGGGGGGGGGGGCGCTTGCGTGCGTCTGGGCCTCGGCCCTCGACTTCGACCCCGCACGCACCCGCGCCCTTCCCGAGCCGAACCTTCTCGGAACCTTCCCGCAGACCTCTCCGTCGAGCTCCTCGCCCGACTTGGCGTCGCAAGCGGACCACCAGGTCTGACAAATGGCTGCCGCACTCCGGTCCGTGGACGCTGCAAAACGCCGTGCGGGCTCTGTTTGGAGCTTGCCCGGCGCGGGGACCCCCTCGTCCACAGTCTCTTCCACATTCTCTTCCACATTCTTCCGCTCGAGGGGAGGGGGCTGCATCCTCGCGGTCGTATCGTCGCGCAGGCATCGCCACACCTCTACAATCCCCCCCCCCCCACACACACACACACCCGTAAGCCCCTGCGCGCTCTGTATATGCCCCAGCCGCTTCGCCCGCCACACGGGCGCGAGGTTTTGCCCCGGTGCCACTGTCCGGGCGTCTCTTTTGCAAGTTTTAGCTCTGGTCGAGAAAGAAGGACACGAGGGAAAATGCGTTTCCTCTGACACGCCTCACGATTAACACTCCAGCATCAAAAACCACCATGCACCAACCCGCGGGTTTGCCCCCCACAGTGTGTGCACACAGAAAGGGCAACAAACAGTGAGACAGGAATTGCACACACTCAACACACAGCGAACGTGCTGCGAACGTGCGAGTCAGAGCGCGCGACCAACCTCCAGCGGCCTTCCGACCCTGCCTCCCCCTTCCGCTTCCCTCGCTCCGCTCCCGACTGCACATGCCATCATGCCCGTGGGTCCGACCCGCACAAGGCGCAGGCACACTGCCACAAGGCACAGAGCGAGCGCGCGGCTCCACCCCGAGACAATCGGCCCAACGCCTGCACGCCACGCGGGGATCACGCCGCCTGGTTCTCGCCTACACCCTGGCCTTTCGCTTCCCCTCCGCCTTGGAGTAGGGCGGCGGCGCGGGTAGCGCTGGCGGCGCGGGTAGCGCTGGCGGCGCGGGTAGCGCTGGCGGCGCGGCTGCTGGCGGCGCCTGCACGGCGCCCGCTGGGTCGGAGAGTGTGCAGCTCGACGCGTCGCGCGGAGGCAGCGGGTCGGGCTCGCTCACCGCGGGCTCGCCCCAGGAGATGTCTTTCGGGGGCCGGTCCGCGTAGTCCATCAGCTTGTCCATCAGCCTGCGCGCGTGTGTGTGCGTGTGTGTGCGTGTGCGTGTGCGTGTGCGTGTGCGGGAGTGTGTGTGTGTGTGTGTGTGTGTGTGTGTGTGTGTGTGTGTGTGTGTGTGTGTGTGTGTGTGTGTGTGTGTGTGTGTGTGTGTGTGTGTGTGTGTGTGGTTTTGCATCCCCCGCCGGCATGGGGCATGCATGGGCGCCGGTGTCGGCTGCCCGCCGTGGCCCCCGGTATCTCGGGCTGAAGGCCGGCGAGGTGCGCCTCCCGCCCGTCCGCTCGTGCCAGGGGCAAGTACAGGTCCGTCTGATCCCGGCTGCTTCGGCGCGCTTTAGGATGTCTTGGCAGCGCGCGCGGTCATCGGGGTCCACGGGGGGCCACTCCTCGTCGTCGGAAGCCAGCGCCCACTCGTACGCCTTGTCGCCCTCCTCGTCGGCGAGGTTGGGGTCGGCGCCGTGGTGGAGGAGGAGCTCAAGGATCTCGTGATGCCCGGATCCGGCGGCGTGCATGAGGGGGGTGGTGTACCCGTCCGGGAAGAGTTGGGGAGCTCCTTCGTCGCCGCCCATCACCTTGGGAAAGTCCACCGGCGAGCCGTGAGTGAGCAGAATTTCCGCACTCGCGGTGTAGTTGTTCATGGCACACTCGAGGAGAGGCCAGAGGTCGGTCGTATCCAAGCCCATGTGGGATGCGGGACAGAAGTACGAGAGGAGCGTGGGCTGGCGGCCGAGCGCCGCCTCCCACTCGTCGCTCTGCAGAAAATTCTTCAATTCCTCCGGCTTTTGCACCAAATCCAGCACCTTTTTCGTTGCGTCCCAGTCGCTTTCGCTAATCGACCTGGACAGTTCGTCGAGGCCGAGCAGGTCCCGCAGCTCGAGTTGCGAGTAGCGACGGCGAGATGGGCTCTGCGGCGGCAGCCCCGGTACCTGGATACGCGGGCGCTGCTGCTCGGTCGCGCGTGAGAGCGTGCAAAGGAAGGAGCGAGGCTGCACCGGGATGGTTTCGCCCTCGTAGTACAGATCAAGAGCTCGATAAGCTGAGCCGCCGCCGCTCTCGAGAAGACGCTCGGCCTCGGCCTCCGTGCAGCCGATGACAGCTTGGATCGCTTCGACTTGACTGTCGACTGCCGACATCTGCCAGGGCGTGGCCCTACGAGCGCGGGCTCAAGCAATTTGCCTCAGCCTTGGCAGCGTGAGCCGATCAGAATTGCCCCACGGGAATTCTTTTCCTGCGGTGTTAGTGCCAGTCCCGACCAGTGTCGTGCGAGGGAGCTTTGTTGTAAAATTCTTTTCAGTGTATGTGGCTCTTACGGACATTCCCGTAGGTAGGTAGGAGGACTCAGCTGACAGGGTTTTAGGGGGGGTACCTCACGCATACCGCGCTGGTGTCCCAGTCGTTGGTCGGATTGTGTTTCGCCTTCCTATCAGTGTATGTATATAGGGAGGCGCCGCGCGGCGGGACGGACGTAAGATACAGTTGTAATGACAATCGATGATGCGATCAGAGGCGTAACACGCGCGATTGCAAGGGGTGGAAGAGGGTCTGGCCACCGCGGGGCGAGGGAGGCGGTGGGCCAGATGCCGGATCCGCTGTGCGCGTTCGTCGGTCAGGGCGCGGCGCTGACTGCGGCGGCCTGGGCCGTGGCGGCGGCGAACGGCGGCGGACCATTCCAGCGCTGGGCGAGGGCCGGGGCGCGGCGTTGCGGGAGGCGTGGACGGCGGAGGCGGTGCACAACGTCTCCGTGCCCGCAGCAAGGCGGGCGGCGGCGGGCGACGCCGACGAGCTGTTCGCGCACGCCCGTCCGCCCACGAAGAGGGCGAGGCGCGAGGCGGGCGAGCGGCGCGCCGAGCAGCACCAGGGGTGGGCCGATGCGCCGAAGGAGAAGAGGCGGAGGGCGGCGGAGGAGCGGACGGCGGCGCGGCCAGGCGGCGCTGCTGGCGCCGCTCGCGGCGGCAGACACCACGGCGTCGCTGGAAGGCGCGCGGAAGCGGTGAGCAGCCGCTCGGGCAGCCGCGTCAGCGGCAGCCTCTCGAGCTGCTCTCGAGCCGCCTCGCGGCTGCCTTGTTTCTTCTCTTGCCGCGTTTGCGACGTTTGCTTCTTCTTCTTGGCGCCCGCAGAGTGGGGCTGGCTGACCCGTCAGAGGTCTTGCTCTGGACGACTGGGGCAGGGCGAATCACCGGAGGTGGAGGGGGACGAGGGCGGAGGCAGGCTCAGCTGCTCTCCGTTGACCTCGTGTTGGTGGCAGAACCCGTTGGTTCCGTGGCAGCCGCGCACAGTGTCGTGAGGGTAGCTAGCCAAACCTGTCGGCGGCGGATTCGGCGCCGTCGTGGCCGCTGCCAGCCGGTCCGAGCGGCGGGCTGGTCCGGGCCGGGTTCCCCCGACGAAGGGACGCTTGGTCTTGTGGGCGGGCCAGTTCCGTGCAGCCGCTCCCGTCAATCAAAGGGGTGGGGGTATGGTAGCAAAGTCCCGCTCTGAAGAGGAGGAGCGAAGGAGAGCGCGACTGAGGGAGGCGAAAGCAGCCTCTCCGCGGAAATTGACCGCTCCCGCTATGTTGAGCGGTGTTGCACTGACTTGACTCCGCTCGAACGTGTTTGGTCGGTGTTTTTCTGAGCAAGGAGTCCGCTCTGAAGGTTGCAGAGCGGAGTCTTGTTAGGCAAACGCTGCTCTGTGTTGTGTAGAGTGGGGTTTAAGCTTGAAGAACGCTGCTCTAGCACCATCGAGCGGGGTTACTGAGATATAACACCGCTCTGAGATGCGAGAGTGGCGTTGCGCGTTTTGCTTTTGGCCCTCAGCCCACAGTGGCAGGCCAGGCCAAGTAAGCTCCCGTGGGGTCGGGAGGGAGGGCGCATCGTATTTGTTTTGCCATCACCAGCTACCGCCTCTGCGGGGTGGTGATGCCCATCTCCCTAGAAGAGAATTGGGAGAGGCCGATCGCGCCTCGCCAGCAGGGGTAGAAGCCACGAGGTCAGTCACAGGCGGCGAGCCGTTTGCGTCGCCTTGAAATATCATGGAGAAGCTCGGTCCTGAGATCCCTCGTCAGGCAGAATCGCAGAAACCCCTCGGGGTGGCGAGTCGAGGTTGCACCTCGCCTCCATGGCGCCGAGATGAGTGAGAGGCGCAGAGACAGAAGGACGTGTGAAGAGAAGGGAAGAAAGGACGGAAGAGAAGGGAAGAAAGACGTGTGAGGAGAAGGCGTGTCTCATGCGACCGCCATGAGAATATCCTGCTTCTTGGAAATTTTTTCTAAAATTTTTTCTGGCCCGGTGTGCGTCCCCGGTAGTTTCACGCAAGTCCCGCGCGCTCCCAAAATGGAGCTCACGACGGGGCCGGAGCGCATTTTTAAGCTGTGCGTGGCCGATGAGTCAGCCAGGTTCCAGGCTGCCGGCACGATTCGCAGTGAGCTTGACGCGGCCGACGGTTTCATTCACCTCTCCGACCGCACGTCTGCGCCAGTGGTCGCCGGCCTGTTCTTCTCCACCGCGAAGGACCTCAGGCTCATCGAGCTGGCGTCGTCGAAGCTCGCACCGTTGTCGTGGGTAGTGGGCAAGATGGGCGATGCGGCGCCCACGCCAGCCGAGGGAGAGCTTGCGATACACTACCTCATTCCGGAGGGATGCGTGCACGTGTTCGGCGCTGGTGGCGTTCCGACGAGCGCCATCGTGCGAGAGGAGGCCGTGCCGCTCGGGGCGGACGGCAAGCACGTCTTTCCTGACTGGCTTTAGAGATTGGTATCTGTGGTCCGTGTTCTTCTTTCCTGAACCATCACTTCACCCGGAGATCACCGCTGTGCGGCGGCTCTGGCCGTTGTGGCCTTCGGCCGGTGTCTCTTAGAGTCGACAGCGCAATACACACAGGAGCTGTACAGGCGAATTTGATAGTTTGCTGACGAAATGGAAAGGCTATATGAGAGTGCTGTAGCCGTGGTCACTGCCCAGCACACTCCTCAGCTCCTCTCATGCTAAATGCAGCCGCCAGCTTGCCGCCGCCAGCCCGCCACAGGTCCGTGGACGCGTGGACCGCGCGTGCGGAGCCCGCTGGTGCTGCGCGGTCCTCTGAGGACCTATGGGAACACAAACTATGGGAACACAAACTCTCTCTCTCTCTCTCTCTCTCTCTCTCTCTCTCTCTCTCTCTCTCTCTCTCTCTCTCTCTCTCTCCTATGTATGGGTGGAAGAGGGACAGGAGTGAAAGCACGCTTAGGCTCCTCGATCAAACCCCTATCCCGGTTCTGCTCAGGAGCAGATCGCGCACATCAGCCAGGGCTAGTTTTCTTTCTTTGCGAGCTCGATCCATGCTCTTGGCGATCGCTGCGTCCGCTCTTGCCCCGCGCCTCGCGCTGCGCGCTGCGCCCGGCGCGTCGCCGCATGCCGCCTCGTGCGTCCGCATGGCGGCGCCGGAGGAGTTTGATTACCTCGTCATCGGCGGCGGCTCCGGCGGCATCGCTTCTGCGCGGCGGGCGGCAGCGCACGGCGCCAGGGCGTGCGTGATCGAGCGCTCGCGGCTGGGCGGCACCTGCGTCAACGTGGGCTGCCCCCCAAGAAGGTGATGTTCAACGCGGCGACCGTCCTCGAGATGATCCACCAGTCGGAGGGCTACGGCATCTCGGTGAGAAGGGCACCTCCCGCACACCTCCGCACACCTCGGGCACTCGCCGGCACACCGGCCGCCCGACGGCAGCCGAGCCCGCGCGCCGGACGCCGCCAGGTGGGCGGGGCGAGCTTCGACATGAAGGCCATCAAGGCCAAGCGCGACGCGTACGTGACGCGCCTCAACGGCATCTACGCAAACAACTTGGCAAACTCGGACGTGACGTTTGTCGAGGGCGACGCTCGCTTCACCGGCCCAAAGACGGTGGCGGTCGGCGACCGCACTCTGACCGGCAAGTCAGTGCTCATCGCTGTGGGCGGCCGCCCCTCCGTCCCTGACATCCCTGGCGCAGCAGAGCTCGGCATCACTTCGGACGGCTTCTTCGAGCTCGACTCAATCTCGGCTACATCTCGGCTAGATCTCGTCTAGGCATCACTTCGGACGGCTTCTTCGAGCTCGACTCCGTCCCCGACCGCGTCGCCGTGATCGGGTCCGGCTACATCGCGGTCGAGCTCGCCGGGATCCTGCAGGTACAAAGAGATTCGGAGAGTCGGTCGGAGACTGGTCGAGATCCGGTCGAGATGCCATCTCCCCGTGATCTCCCCGCAGGTGCTCGGCTCCAAGGTCGACCTCTTCATTCGGGGCGCGACGCCGCTGCGCTCGATGGAGTCGGACGTGGTCGAGCGGCTGGTGGGGGAGATGGAGGCGGCGGGCATCTCGATCGTGCGCGGCGAGGCGGAGGCGATCAGCGGCGACGCGGCCTCGAAGACGGTCGTTCTCAAAGACGGGAAGGGCGAGCACGGCGGGTACGGGCAGGTGCTGTTTGCGACGGGGCGTGAGCCGGTGCCGGCCCGCACCTCGACCGCACCTCGGCCTGCAGTCTCGGCTGCACCTCGGCTTCACCTCGGCTGCACCTCGGCTTCACTTCGGCCGCACCTCGGCCGCACCTCGGCTTCAGGTGACGGGCTCCCTCGACCTGCCCGCTGCGGGCGTCGAGACGGCGCCGAGTGGGCACATCGTCGTCGACGCGGCGTCGCGCACGTCGAGCGAGGCTGAATTGCAGTGCTCAATCGAGGCACAACAGCGGAGAGGTGAACGAGTGCCCAGTTCTCGTCTAGGGCGTCTACGCGCTCGGAGACGTCATCGGCCGAATCGACCTCACGCCGACCGCCCTAGAAGCGGAACGCGGACGCTTGACTCCCAACTAGCGCTCGCTGTTTTACGTGTTTAGACGTACTCGGCCGCATTCTCCGCCGTATTCGTTGTCTCGTACCCACCCGTACTCACGCGGTGCTCTGAAGACTCTGCACGAGACCGCCCTCCCGCCCCGAGGCTGGCGTATTCAGCACGTAGGCCCACCGCCATCGCGGCGGGCCGGCTGCTGTCGGACCGGCTGTTTGGAGGCGCCTCGGAGGCGGACACGCTGATGGACTACGACTTTGTTCCGACCGTCGTGTTTTCGCACCCGCCGCTCGCGGTCTGCGGACTCACCGAGGCGAGATCTAGCCGAGATCTAGCCGAGATCTGGCCGAGATCTGGCCGAGATCTGGCCGAGATATAGCTCGCGGTCTGCGGGCTGACCGAGGCGGAGCCGATCGCGCGGCGCGGGCGCGACGAGAGATTTGGCGAGATTCGGCGAGATTCGGCGAGATTCGCGAGCAGGCGGAGGCGATCGCGCGGCACGGTCCGGACGCGGTGGCGGTGCACAAGTCGACCTGGGTCAACATGCTCTACTCGCGCGAGTTTTTGGTGGACGGGCAGCACATGCCCAAGACCTTCGCGAAGCTCGTCTGCGTGGGCCCGGAGCAGCGCGTGGTCGGGCTGCACATGATCGGCCTCCCTCGCCACCTGCGAGGCGCGGCCGCCCCGCTCTCCTCCGGGGTACGGCTGCCGTTTCCCCCTGTTTAGGCCTCGCCGTTGACGAGATCCTGCAGGGCTTCGCGCTGGCGATGAAGATGGGCGCGACCAAGGCGGACTTTGACTCTGTCGTCGCCATCCACCCCACCTCCTCCGAGGAGCTGGTTACCATCCCGCCGTGGCAGGCGCATCCAGTCACAGACTCCACCGCGGAAGTCCTGTGCGCACTTGGCTCACCCTACGGCCGTGCGCAGGCAAAGTACTCTCTGCGGCCCGACGCGTACACGCCGTCGTACGAGGAGGAGCCGGTGCCCGCCAAGGCGCGCTGAAAGGGAGGTTGCGTTTCTCGCGCGGACGGCGGCACCGCGGTTCTGCCCGTTGCAGCCGTGCCGCGCGCACGGCGAGCACAACGCCCGCACACATTGGTCACTGTGCGAGGCAGGGACGATGTGACCGGGCAGTGGCACCAGGGGGGTGACACGCGCCCGGCAAAACACGCAACGATCTTGTGGTTGGTTCAATACAACAGCTTGAGGCACACCGCAGCCAGAGCCGCAGACGGGAAGTTTGTGAGTTACTTTCCGGTCCGACTCTAAAATTCTGACATCGCACATCGGCGGTGGTGGGAGGCGGTGAGGCCCTCTTTTTTCAGTCTCTGCCCCTGCTGTCGCCCTCACCCCCCTCTCTCTCCCACGCGGCACAGTGCACAAACACAATTTTCGCTCTCATCACCCCGTCACGCCTTCACTTCCAGCTGCGGTAGCGGTCTCTTGCCAGCCTGCGGCAGCAGCACCCACCCCTCAGTCGGCGGCAGATCTGAGTCGCTCTTCGCGACGTAGACGCCGCCCCCGGAAGGCTCGTCTATCCACCACTGCCCGTCGCGGGTGTTGCGATAGATGTAGGCGCCGTTCTCGTGCAGGAACCAAGTTTTCTGCTGATCGGCCAGCGATCGCCAGCTCTCCGCTGTCGGCCATCGCATACTCTCACAGACGGCGGCGAAGCCTTTTGGAATCTCCGCGGTCGGGCTCTTGGCTACGAATGAGCCAACCACCGACGGTACGCCAGCCGCCACGATCCGCACCGAGGGCGCCACGGCATCGGGCTACGGGCTAGAGAGCCCTGATATGCGCGTCATCGAATCTTCACACCCCCACGCACCTGGGGACCCCCCTCTAAATCGACGGTCTGACCAGGTGGAGGTGGGGGGGGGTACCTACACCCTTTGTCGCTCAGCGGTCCCGAGCCAGCGGCAGCTGACCCCCCCTCCGGTAGCTCACCCCCCCCGAGCGGAAGCTGACCGCCTCTCGGAACTGGCTCGGCCGTCAGAAAGAATTTCCGGGTTTATTAACCGACTGCACGTGCTCCAAGTTATTAGCTCCGAGTAGAGGGGGCGACGGCTAGCGCACCACACACCTCTCCTTAAAATCCCTGTGTGGTGGCGGCGTGCCGTCCTCCCATCCCTCCCTTGGGTTGTCTGTTTTCTTTCTTTCTTTCTTTTAGAGGGGGCGCTCCGCTGCTAGGGGAAACCTGGAGCGCGGACTAAACCCTCGGAGACCCGTGTTTACTTTAAGGCCCTTCCCCTGCGAACGCGCACCCCCGGGGCTAGGGCTCTCTTGCCCGTAACCCGATCCCGATCATCCGGCCCGCTGGGTGCGCTTCTCAGCTCCTCGGCCCTGGGTTTGGGGAAGCCAACGCAAGACTTTTACACAGGACCAAATGCACACCCAAAATGCAATGTGCACGGCGTATTGTCAAATGGACACGCACGGCTTCTGTATTTTAACCGGACGGACAACGTTGCAACCACCTGTGACGCCAATTGGAACCAATGCGTCTGTAAGGTACCGTCGCCGCCGTCGGCCTCGCCCTCGCCGTCTCCAGAGCCGTCGCCGTCTCCACCGCCGCCCCCGCCGCCCCCATCGCCACCCCTCCCATCGCCCCTCCCATCGCCTCTAGCGGGTCCACTTTCGCTAAGCAAGCCGCGAATGTCGGCGGGCTCTACTGCTTTCGCCTGGCAGGTGCACACCCGCCCCCCCGCTCCATATGCAGCGTCCGATACCATGTGTGTGTCACTCACCTCGGCTCGTGCTTGTAGTTCTTGGCCAAGGTGACCGACGGCAAAAGCAAGACTTTTGGCAAGAGCAAGAAGCAGACCAGCCCGTGGTTCTCCGCCAAGGCCGCCCAACGTTTCTTGCCCTGCCGCCGTGCCCCCTTCTCGTGGCCATTACAGTTCACCGTTGCGACGCCATAGGTCACGACGGAGAATCAGCAGCCCATCAGCTCCGTGACCGTCACCCCGGATACCAAGAACAAGCCTTCCAAGGCGAAGCAGTATCTCAAAGGCTTCGAGATCTGGGTCGGCAAGAAGGCTGGACAAAAGGCGGTGAAGTGCGGCGGACCATTCGCCTGGTCAAAAATCAAGAAGGGGCCAGTCACGGCGCCGTGCGACGCTGCCAAGTCCAAGCGCGTCTGCCACCCTTCCCACCGCCACACCTCAATCCCGACTAGTTCCCGTGACGATGGGAAGCAAGCCCCCCCCCCCCCCCACCAGGCACCGCTACGTGACTGTCATTCTCCCCGGCAAGAAGAAAACGCTGGCGTTTGGCGAGATAGAGGTGCGGTAGTTGGGAGGTCTAGACTGCTTTTACGTCCGAGAAGAAAAAACGCTGACAGAACACAACTCAGAAACCTACGCGCGCCGGCGGCGCAAATTCGGACCCATGTCGCAAGTGAGTTGTGAGGCGTTGGTCGCGTGATCTCTCACCGCGATCAGGCACTAGAAGCGCGCCAAGCGGATGTTGAACGAGCGTTTGAGTAAGTCACTGGCGGCGCCTTGCTCGCCCCTGTCCTGCAGCAGCCGCCCGAGGTTGTATAGCGACTTTGCTACCAACAAGTGCTCAGGGCCAAGAGTCTCCCTGATCTCGAGCGCGCGACGGAGGGCAACCTCCGCGCCAGTGTAGTCACCGAGGCGTTGGAGCAAGCGGCCTAGGCCTGGCTTTTCCACGCCGCCGAACCGGTTGCCGGCGCCTGCCGCATGATGGGTCTGACCTTCTGCTTCCCCCCCTCGTCTTGCGCATCGCGCAAGCCGCAACCACCAACCTCAATGAACCTCAACTGCTCAAGGCCTGCTGCACGATAGCACGAACATGGTCTCAGTCTCGTGCGTCGTGGCGGGTCCGCTGTGGGAGCCGAGAGTTTCAGCGAGACAATTGCAGCCTGACCCTGAGCCCGAGGTGCGAGGACGAGGCTCCACACGAGGCGTAGAGGGTACCGTACGGGGTGTGGACCCTGAGAGTTGACCTGGGGTTGTGCGCTGGGCCCTCCTGCTCGGCTCCAGCCAGTAGACAAGTCTTGTCATCAACAGAGTAGAAGGATCTGACCTCGGGGCCGATGTGACCAAGCGCTGGTAGCGTGGTTTAACCTCACACCCATGGTCTCACAGTGTGCCGGCAGTCGCCGAGCAGTGTCGCTCACACAAGCGCCGCAGCACAAGTGACTGAGGGCCAGTGAGGGCGAGCCCATCGCTGTGACAGCTGTGGTAGCCGCACAGTAGGCTGTGTCAACTGTGCAGAGTGTGTGAGCAGCAGAGGAGCTGCTCTCCAGGCTTCAGGCGCAAAGAGCTGCATGCCATCGAAGGCGCTGTCGAGGTTCGCCGAGCGCGGCGAAATCGGGGGACGCCGTCACCGACGTCCGACGAGCGCGTTGTGGTATTCACTCCGGACAAAGACGGGTACACGCACACGAGCCGCGGTCGTGTACCCGTCTTGGCGGCGAGGCGCGGGACCGTCTGTGGCGAGGTGGGTCGCGTCCCCCGATTTCCGTCAACCCACGGTAGGGTGCCCACAGGACCCAAAAGAAAATAGCTTTGCGGCTCAAAAAGGGCGACGCACGAGGCAAATCTGATGTTGGCCAGTTCCAATAGGAGCGAGGCCTCTTCCGTTGGGGGACCGAGTCAATAGGAAACGAGGGTTTCCCATTGTGTCCCCTTCGCGTGCGAGCGTGACACTGCACTTGGCGCCGAGCGCCCGCGGCTCAGACCTTGTGCAAGCCGACCCTCGGTGGGAGCACCGGTCCGGACCGATGGCGCTCGGTGTGGAGCAAGCAAGACCCCCCCCCCCCCCATCGGCGCGCGCCCGAGGTTCAAACGGCCGCCAGGAGCACCAAGAGGACTCCTCATGGCTGCTCCCAAGTGGGCTTCGACCGGCCTCGGCTGGGGGGGCGGGTTGTCCCGGTTGCGGATGCCTTCTGCAGCCCCCTGGGATGGGGACAGCACCCCAAAACTGCCCCTCGGCGGCATACAGCACTGCCAGCCAGCCTCTTCCTCCTCCAAGGGCTGTACTATAGGCCATATTGCGCCGCCTCCTACTGGCAGCCGGGCGGGCGCGCGCGCCGCGGGCGCCTCGGCGCGCGCACGGCTCGCAAAGTTCGAACGAGTACTGCCGCCCGGCCGCCTCAAGGCTGCCGGACGGCAGTACTCGCCTCGCAAGGCGCGCACCGGCTGCTCTGGCTGCTGCGCCGGCGGCCGCTGCGCTGGCCGCTGCTGCGCCGGCTGGCGGGCGGTACGGCCGCCGGCGGCCGTTGCACCCGCGCCTTCCCTCGCGGGCGCCGTCGCGCCGCGCGCGCCCAACTCTGCTGGCACACGGCACACGTCGTCACACAGCCGCGGAGAACAGGCGGTGCTGTGCGCGAAGCGCGCGCGATCTCGTACTTTTAAGGCTGGATCCGGCCATTACAAGGGTATACCTTTGAGAATCCCCAGCGTCCCACCCTCCTAGTCACACTCTCAATATCTCGACTGGCCAACACGAAGTGCTGCGATCGGGAGTGCCCCATTTCTTTTTTCTTTTCTTTTTTTGGGTCCTGTGGGCACCCTACCCACGGTCCTCTCCCTCCGTCTAGAGAGAGTGAACATATATCGGAGAGCAGGTCTTTGTCTTGTCCTTCTCCATATCTTTACTCACTCTCTCTCACCAAGCCCCCCCCCCCGGAAGCCCGCGATTCAATGCACGCGCGTGCGACACTCACCCGGCCTTGAAAAAGTGAGGGCGCGCAACGATCCGCGGCCAGCACGCCCGAGGCTCGGACGCCCTCTCGCCGCGTCCACCGCCCACGACAGCCCCAGGGCGCGCTTACGAGAGGTTGATGGCGCGCACAAAGAGGCCGGAGACGGCGCGGTTGTACGCGGCCGGGTTCTGGTAAAAGATGCAGTTGACGGCGCACTTGTTGACGTGGTCGTCGAGCGCCTACTCACAGCGCTCTGCCCCCCCCCTCACCCCGGGCGTGCTCTCTTCTCCTTTGGTTGCTGCGGCCGTTTGAGCGCGTCCAGTCCGCATGCGCAGAGCGGCGGCAGCGGGCGGCGCCGCTGCGCCGCCTGCGCGGCGGCGTTTGTGAATGGGTGAGAGGCGGCGGCGCGGGGTGGAGAGGGGGGGGGGGGGGAGAGGGACCGAAAGGGAGAGGGAGAGGGAAAGGGAGAGGGAGAGGGAAAGGGAGGGGAGGGGAGGGGGACAAAACCGATCTCGCCTCGTTGCGCAGCTGGGCGAGCCTGCCCGCCGCGTACCGCTCCATCGTCACCGCCTTGTGCGCCTGCGGTGTGGAGCACGGCAAGGCTGGGGGTGTGGAGACGGGCTTGTGCAGAGTCTTCAGACCACCGCGCGGCTACGAGAGAGACGGGTACAGGGGCATGTACGGCCGCAGTCTGCTGCAAATGTCCTCTCGCGTGCTCGTTGGGGCAGGGCTGTTTCTCTTCTTCTAGGCGTGCGCGCCCTCGTGCGATCCCGCTCCTCCTCGCGCGCGCGGATCGACGCCAGCGCCTCGCTCCGCCTCGCCTGCAGGACGGGGCACGTCGCCATGGACGGTGAGGTGCTTTGGCGGCGCATACGCCCTCCCTCCCCCCCCCCAGCCCCCCCTCCCCCACCGGGCACAACGCCTCCTCCTCCTCCTCCTCCTCCTCCTTCTAGGGGGGCTTGCCTCTGCCCGCCGCGCCTCCTCTGTCTCGGCCTGCTGGCGCTCGCGCTCGGCGGTGGCGGCCGCGTCGAGGCCGGTCGCCTGCGCCGCCGCGAGCTTTTCCCGCCGACACGCCCGCTCCTGCGTGGCGTGGAGCACCTCAGGGTGAGGGCGGGGAGTACGGCAGCGTGCCGTGTCGTCACGGCATCGCGCTGCGGAGAAGTGTCGAGGGAGTGTCGTGCGAGTGTCGAGGAAGTGTCGTGGGAGTGCCTCGCGGTGCATGTGTACGGAGTGCATGTGTACGGAGTGCATGTGTACGGAGTGCATGTGTACGGAGTGCATGAGGGAGCAGGCAGTGTCTAGGAAGTGTCTAGGAAGTGTCTAGGAAGTGTCTAGGAAGTGTCTAGGAGGGAGCAGGCAGTGGTTCGCTCCTCGTCGAGCCGCCGGCCCCTCGCCGCCTAGAGAGAGGTGGCGAGGAGCAGTCTGGCCCCGGGCTGGACAGCGACGCGGTAGGGGCGGAGGCTGCCTGCCGCTCAGACGCCGCCCACTCGGCCCGCACCTGCGGTGAGGTAGGGACGGCTGAGAGGTGAAGAATAGTCAGGCAGGAAGGTCGAGAACAGTCAGACAGGATGGTCGAGAGGCGAGGAATAGTCACGGAGTTGGCTAGGTAGAGAGGTGAAGACACAGTCTTGCCAGCGACTGGACACCAGGCGATAAGGGTGTGGATGGAGCAGCGCGCTCTCCGTGTTCGGAGCCTCGCAGGAGCACACACAAGGAGCACACCGACTGCAGTACAGTGTAGCTGCAGGGCGTGTGCACGGCTTGCGGACAGCGGACGGCGAGGGTTTGGGCGCATCTAAGGGAGAGCGCCGCAGCACGCGCCGCAGCGCCGGCGGCGACGCCGGTCCGCGTGTCGTGCGCGCGCGAGTAGAAGGGACGAGCGCCTCCGGCGGAGGGCGGCGGTGTCGCGGCCGCCTCCACTCGCTGCCGGAGCGACGAGTCAAAGTGCTCGCGCTGAGTACCTGACCGGTGACGCGAGGGCGGAGATCTCTGAGGCAGGGAGCAGTGCAAGTCTGCGAGAGGGCAAGAGAGGCAGGCGGAGAGAGGCTGAGCAACCTGCCGCACGGAGGCGGCGCTCGAGGCGGTCCCGCTCGAGGGCGGCCGCCTCGGAGGCTGCGGGTGCGCCGAGGTCCGCTTTCTCGGCAGCGAACCCAGACGACTGCGTACCAGGAGTGAGGTTGAGGATCATCGTGTTCTGTCCGCCAACCTGCCACCGGCTCGGGCTGGGCGGCAGTGCCGGGATGTTTTTCTTATTTCCCGGGCCTTTCTAATCTTTCATGATCACTTCAAACGGACTGTATTTCATATGATACTCCCAGTAAGGTAAAAGTACGTACATCATATCGTGGTGACTCCGTCCGAAACTCCGAATGTCCGATTGTTTTGTTATTGCCGTGTTTCGCCTGGGTAACTTTAACTCGAGATGCGTTGTCCAGCGTCCACCCAAACCGCGTTGGTGTCCAGTCCGAGCCTGGCTGTTCTGCAACTTCCTACATACATACATACATGCATTGTACATTATCACCCCCAGAGTCGAGGACGAACAAAGCGAACGCCCCACGGGGACAACGAGAGCCAGCTAGGCTGTACTCGAGTACTGACTTGGGTGTCCGGATGGTGCGTGAAAGGATTCGTGAAGAATGTCGGCCGATTATCGGCGTGCAAACGTTTATCGGCGGATTCGTGACACATATGGCGTCGCTCGGGAATCCCGCGCCTCTGGGCCTTCTCGCCTTTGGCACGACAACAAACCTACTCATGTACGTCGAGATGGGCTGGTGCGAGGTTGCGCCTGTAGAAAACTCAACCGTTTCGGCGCTGCGTGCAGCGGCGCGGTCGCACCCGGCCTCAATCTGTCTGTGTCACGAACCTCAATGCGGTTCCTCGCCAGGTATCGTTCGAGGAGCAGATCTTCGGCGTAGCGTTCTTCTACGGCGGTCTCGCGCAGCTGATTGTTGGCATCATGGAGCTGTTCAAAGGGAACTCCTTCGCGTTTGCGGCTTTCGGCACGTATGGCGCTTATTGGATGGCAAAGGTACCAGACCGCCTGACAAGACCACGTCTCTGTCGCTAGCCCGCGAGTGGCCTACACAATATGGTGCACCGCCCAGCGCAGGCGCTCACGTATTTCCTCGGCAAGTCCACGGAGAGCACGTTCGAGGGGAATTATCCCGATGGCAAGGCAGCTTTCTTCGCCAGCTTCGGCGTACGGCCAAGAGATGCGGCAAGAGAGGAGTCGCGCTACGGCCATGTTCCCTCATAGAGGACGGGGCGGTCTCCGTGACATGCGCGGCGCATCGTCCGAGCTGACACTGTCAACCCCCCTCAGGTGGTGACCACGGGCTTCTGGATCTGCACGTTGCATAAGAACCCTTGCCTCGTCATCGTCTTTGGTTGCGCGGCCCTCCTGGCCCGAGATTCCCCTGCACGCGAACACGCCTCGTTGTGTGTCTGAAGGCTTGCTCGCCGTCACCTTCTACCTGCTGGCCCTCGCCTCTGCGGGTGTTATCGCCGCGTCCACTGCCGGCGTGTTTGGCTTCATCACGGGACTCTCTGCTTGGCGCGCGTCGCGTGGGCCTCGTCGACATCCTCCCACCGCTTTTGCACCCAGCCGCGCCCGCCTGCAGGTACACCGCCTTTGCTGAACTTATCAACGAGGAGTACGGTGGCCACATTCTGCCAGGGCTCAAGCCGCTCTGTGGTGCGCCGAGCAAAGGGAAGGGCGGCGGCATGACCACGAGCAGCGTGTCGGCTTGAGTGTGCTGCTTGGGTCGAAGAGCGAAGTGGGCGCGAAGTGGTCCTCCGAATATACCCCTTGTTGGAGCTTGGAGTGTAAACCCGAACCCCACATTTCGACTGTTGCCTGACCAGTGCTCGTTCGTGTCATCGCCTTGTGTCCGACTTGGTGGTCGACTCGTGGTGATGTAGCCGCGATGGTGTTGGGTCTCTTTCCTTATAACTAAGGTCTTCTCCTCTACTATGCTCTTCAGGAAAAAAAGAACTGTCGGCGGACTTGTCTTTGGCTCTCTGTCGGAATAGTCTATTCCTCTGTCGATCTCTCCGCCCCGTTAGCCTCCACCCTTGGCGCGCCTTGCTTACTGGACTCTGACCCGTTGCGTCCAAATGTGTGTTTATCGCGCGCCTTGCGGGGGAGGGGAGAAAGAGGAACGGCTCTTGGCGCCATGCATCGCCACGGCAAGCAGCCGGGCCAGGTTCACGCCTCAAAAATCAATAGCATGTAGGAAGTGGAACCAGTCGACAAAGAACCCTGCACAAAGATCGCAAGGGCGGGGACCTGTTCCTTTTTACCCATCTCACAGTAGAGGTGTCCGTTTTTATTTATTTATTTAACCAGTCGAGGAGCAGGAGGGCGGGCGGGGGGGGCACACGAACCAGGGATCGGCACTTCGGCAGGCGGCGGCGGCGGCGTCGCAGAATGGGGCCGAGGAGACAGGAGAGCCCCGATGAGTCAGAGGAGATTCAGATGAAGCGGCAGGAGAACGACGAGAGTGGTGTGTCGCTCCTGTAGTAGCCCTACTCGCGGGGCAGTGTCTACGGATTAGTAGTGTAGTAGTCCTAGTTCACGCGGGGTCGGTTGTACGGTTGTAGCCCTACTTCGTACTATCGGCCTAACCCTACTTCGTACTACGTACTATCGTACTATGGCGAAAGCGAAATCGCTGGGGGCAATGACGGCGGCGTGGGCGGAATCACGTCAAGGACGAAGCGCTTGTACCAGAAGAAAATGTATCCCACAACCCATATGCAGAAGAGGAGCGAGGTGTGTAGACCCCAAATCGGGTCCGAAGTCAGCTCTGACTTCGGACCCGATTAGCTGCCGCCATTCTCGCTCCCGCACGGAGCTCTGTGCCGGCACAGAGCTCCGTGCCAGCCCTCCAGCGAGATAGGAACGAGTGTATCGCTTTGACGGATCGACCGTGCTTGTTATCAATACCGACCTCACGTACACAGTTACACTCCAGATGTTCTGTACTCTCCTATCCGGCGACCGGCGAGACGCTGTCGTGAGAGCCAGCCGCTCTTGCGGCAGCCGCCAGCGGAGGCCGAGCGCGCGGTATCGATCGAGCTCGCGATTCGGGCCGTGGAGACCACGAGGAAGACTTCGTCTGCTAGGCCGGAGTCCCGACGCTCGCTGCGTCCGCTGGAACTGGGGTCTACACTTATGAATCCTAAAGAGATACATACCTTCGTTGCCGCGTCCCGCTGCGGCCTGGGACTCCCTTGCCGGCGCAACCATCGCCCACCTACGATTCTATGAAACGGAAGCACGAAGCCACCAAGGTGCTCGGCGACATCGCCGCAGATTTTCGCTGCTCGATCACTGCGACGCTCATCGCCGACCCCGTAATCACGGCTGATGGCCACCTCTACGAGCGGGCGGCCATCGCCGAATGGCTGCGCACACGCGACACGTCGCCCAAGACTGGGAAGCGACTCGACAGCAAGATTCTCACGCCGTCGCCGACCGTGCGCTCGGCCACCGAGCGCCTCATCGACAGCGGCCACCTGCCCGTGGAGGAGGTGCGTGAGTGGCAGACGCGCAAGGCGGCCGTGCTCATCCGCGACGGCCGGACTGAGGACGCAAAGGCAATGCTTCTGGACGCCAAGGCAGCGGGCGATGCGGGCGCAGGCCTGCACCTCGGCAAGCTCTTCCTCGCGGAGGCCCGGTCACTCATAGCCGAGGCCGAGGCGGCCGGCGTCGAGGACGCAGCAGAGACACTGCGTGCGCATTGGCCTAGTGCCGACGTGGCGCCGCCTGGAGCAGAGCCGCTGCGCTCTGTGCGGGACGTTCGCATCGGCCAGAGGGTCCGCGTCCTCTCGCTTGACATCGCGCGGACGGCCATGCAGTCGCACCCGTGCGGATGGAACGCGCAGATGGAAGAGTTTTGCGGCGTGCTTTCAAAGGTGCTGAAGAAGGATGACGGCGACGGCACACTCCAGCTGTCGAACCCTGTCGCTGGCGGAAGCTGCTATTGGTTCTCTGTCGGATGCTGCGTGAAGCCGTGAGCCGCGCTCCTCCGCTCTTCTTTGTTGTCATCGGCCAACCCGTTGCTCATGCCGGCGTACACGGTGAGCCCGATCCGTCTGAGGTCTGTGCTCCTCCCGCCTTCTCTGCTTCCACCGCGGTCACCGTACATCGAGACTGCCAGCGGCATAACTCTGGTCTCGGTTTTACAAGACAGACCGTCGGTTCAGTCGTCAGGAGCTACTCGTACGTAGGGATATATGTAGATGACAGATCACAGTCACACCTCACGCGGGAGCCGCCTGGAAGCGAGACTTCCAAAGAGAAGTCCGCGCGGCAAACGGAATCTTCTTGCACGAAAACGCCGAAATTCCAACTGGTTCTTGAATTCCGGAAACCGGAGAATCGATTGGTGACCTCGCGCTAACATCGACGCGACGATCGATCTCCCGTCGCTCTCACAAGCGCTCACCTGTGGGGTGCCCGGGTGCTGATCGTCACGCTTTCTCGTGTCTCCCCGTCCGTCCGGTCGTTGGCGCCGTCGTCGTGCAGCACACTTCACACCCGGGGCTCTCGGCGCGCCATCTCAAGGGCTTGCACAGCAGCCTCTTGCGGCGGCAGGCCTTGGTTCGTGAGCGCGGCAAAGGCCTCTTTGATGCGCGCGCGCAGCGCCGCCTCCGATCTTGTGCGCGCACGCTCCGCGGCGGCTGCGGCGCGCGGCGCGTCGCGCGCCGCGCATGCCACCGCGCTGGCGGCCGCCGCGGCGGCGCTCGGCGCGTCGCTGGCGCCGCGGTCAAGCGCGTGCGGAAGCACCACGGTGCGCCAGACCTCCGTCCACGCGGCCTCGGCGCCACGGAAGGCCGCGCTCATCATGTATCCAAGCTGCAGCAGCGTGGAGGCGCGGCGGCGCGCCGCCGTCGGGAAGAGGGAGTGGCTGCGTGGCGACCACGCCTCTGCGGCGGCGAGGACGAGCGCCGCACCCGTGCCGGCCTCCGCACGGCCGGAGGCGCCGAGCGCGCGTGCGAGGTCCAGCGGCGACGGGCCGGCAGCGGAGGCGCGCGCGTGCACGTCGGCGCCACACCGCAGCAGCAGCCGCACGCGCCCCGCGGGTACCACCGTCAGGTGGTGCAGCGCGGTGCACCATTCGGCCGAGCGGTCGAGAAAGTCGACCAGATCGTCGTGGTTGCCTCCTGCTGCGACGGTGCGCACGCTCTCGCCGTCCGGCACCTGAAGACCGTTGGGTGCCAGGTCGTCGTCAGCCCACGCGGCCGTGCAGCTACGACTCGCGCCGTGGACGGAGAGGTGCTGGACGCACGCGAGGTGCCCGCCGGCGCATGCGAGCATCATCGGCGTGGGGCCCTGCGGGTCGATGTCGTCGTCATTCGGCACGACGCCGCGATCGAGAAGCCTCTGCACCATCTGCAGGCGACCGTCGCGGCACGCCAGTCGCAGCGCCTGCCAGCCGCTAAATTGGCAAGTGGGTCGGCACCGTGCTGAAGCAGGCATTCGGCGGCCTCAGTGCTATCGACGACCGCGAGGGCCGTCAAGCCATCGTCGTCCTCGAGGTCTGGATCGGCGCCCGCATCCAAGAGCCACCACATGATCTCGACGAAGCCATGGCTTGACGCGAGCAGCAGCGGCGTCATGCCACCAGGCCCGACGGCGTCGACATTTTCGATTGCGTGGCGCGCCGCTCGCGCGCGGATTGGCGTCATCCGCATGCGAAGCTTGGTGATGTGGCATATTTCCTTGACGGTTTCCGAATCGTTCATGGCTACGGCAACAAACAAGCCGCCCGTGTAGCGGGCGATGCGTCGCTCAATGGGATGGCCGTTTGCCCACATGCTGAGGGCGAGGAAGCGGCCGGGTCGGGCCAAAAAAAGAAACAATCCGGCGCGAAGCAGAAGGGTTGCTAAGCGTATTTGCGCCTCCGTATTTGCAAATACAAACAAATACGGCACAATCGAGAGTTTTGCTAGCGTATTTGCCGAGCGGCCGCGGGTTGCTGCGCAAAAGCTTTTGTGTGCGAGGGTTCGCGCTGCGCTCGCCAGGCTCAGAGCGAGTTCGCGCTGCGCTAGGCTCAGACGGCGAGTTCGCGCTGCGCTAGCTAGGTAGGCTGAGACTACCCTCTACCCTGGAAATTCAACCCTTTTTCTGGGCTCACAAGGCTGAAGATGTTCACGGCGGCCCAATGAACACACCAGGGAGGGAGGGCGAGACGATCGAGGGGTCCCGTACCATGTGGAATCGACCCTATCCAGTGCTCAAGTGCTCAAGGTTACGGGCTAGAGAGCCGGCCGAGCCCTAGCCCTGGAGGGGTGCGCGTTGATTGGGCGTACTTGGAGCACTCGTGCGTAATGTTTTACGGCCAAGAACCCAAATTCCGCGACGCTTTTCCGGTCCAGGCGCCTCTCATGTCGTGGCTCTCCAAGTTAGGGGGCACAGGTATCGGCCCAGAGCTGCTCGTCCGCCCTGAGTTGGTCCACACCGTCAGCCTTGGCCATCAAGAGCGAATAGGAGAAGTATTTTCATGCTCGGGTGGCGGCGAGCTCAGAATCGTGCCGTGTGTTTTCACCAGTGATGCATGCAATACGCCAAGCAATGTGGTCTCGATAGCTCCAGGCTCCGAATACCACTTCGCGGTCATGATCCGGAACACCTACAGGATCGTTGATCCAAACTCGATTACTGGGCAAGGGAGCGAGGACCCAAGGGGCATCTTTGCAGCCGCCTCCAACGCGGCGCCTTCAAAGGAGAAGTTTGTCAGCCTGCTGGCGGATGAGGAGGAGGCGGCGATGAGCGCGATCACGGAGCTGCTGCCCGTGGTCAAGGAGATCCTCAACGTCTTGGGGCCCTTTATGAAGGAGATTGGCGCCGAGACGGGGAACTACCCCCCCGGCTACCTCTGCGCCGCCTAACCGACGCCGCCAGCCGCTGCGGCCAGCGTGCCTAGCCACGCGAGGAGAGGGAACTACGTGCGTCTGGTTGGCGTGGTGTGTGTGTGTGTGTGTGTGGGTGTGTGGGTGTGTGGGGGGGGTGTTCAAATACGCAAATAAAGAATTTTACAGGCACCACTCACCGACGGCGGCGGCTGCGCGCGCTCGAGTGCGCGCGCCGTGCCGCTGGGGCGGAGCTGGCCGCGTGGGAGACGCTGAGAATGATGCCAAGGCGGGCGAAAGGGGCGAACCGGTTGAAGGTGGCGGTGCGGCAGGCGGCGAACGCAGCGAAAGTTTGTATTCTTTTTCTTCACGGCGAACCTGGAACCTTCGCAGGCCAGCGCGTCGTCGCTGTGTCGGCAGGAGGCTTCCACAGTCTCGCCCTCACCGCCGATGGCGCCGTCTTTACCTGGGGGAGCGCGGAAGCCCACGGCTGCCTGCAGCCTGGGCCACGGAGAAGACCTGTCGGACCAGCTGCTGCCCAAGAAGGTCGATCGAGGCGTGGGCGCCGGGGAAGTGATTAGAAGGGCGAAAGGCATGGGTGTATCTCTAGAACGCTCGTGGTCGTACATGGTGCTCGCGACTCGCGTCTTGCGGGTAGTGTCCAACAAAAATTGCCACGGCGAACCTGAAGATTCGCAATACTCTATTGAGATTGCAAATTCTTCTTCCCCGATCACGGCGAACAGAACATTCGCAGCGTCGCTGTTTGTGTGTGCAGGAATCGCGGCCGCCTACGCCCTCCTAGCCGCCGCCGCCGCCTTTTCGCCCTAGCCCGCGCTCCTCCCCGCCGACCAGGTCCCTACCACGCGACTCGCACCATGGGCAAGGGCGGCAACGCGAACCCGCGGGAGCTCAAAGGCGGCAAGGCCGAGCAGCTGACAGTCTACCTGTATGGCAAGGCTGTCGACGTCTCGAAGTTCGCGAAGCTGCACCCGGGAGGCGCCAAGGCGCTGCGCATCTTCAACAACCGCGACGCCACCGAGCAGTTCGAGATGTACCACTCGCCCGCCGGTGCGCCCGCCGCCAGAGCGCCGGCCGTGCAGCCGCCTTTGCGCAGCCGCCTCCCAACGCCTCTCCGCCGCCGCACGCCCGCCTCCCAGTCGCCTCCCTCTCGCACCTGAGCCTCCCGCGCACCCTCTTCCCGCCGCCCCGCAGCCCACAAGATGATGCGTGCGATGTCGAAGAGCGCGCCGGAGGCCCCGAGGGAAGAGGGAGCCTAGATGCGGGATGCCTCTCCCCGTCTCTCCCCGCAGCTCACCGACATCTCCCCAGTACCAGACCTCTAGCTGCGGAGCCTCTCCCCACACCTCCCACACACACCCACGGGGAGGGAGCCTCGATGCCGGCGAGACAGCGGCCAGCACGGGTGACGCGGTGGCCTGGCCTTTCCGGCCGCACGGGCCCTCGATGGCCTGGCCTTCCGGCCGCGCCGCTCGCATGCCCCCCCCACCCACCCACCCACCCACCCACCCCACCGCGCGGCCACCGTCCCTTCGAGAAGTCGCGAGCAGACGTCCCCACACCGACGCTGCAGCATGCGCAGACCGCCGCAGACCGCCTCACCGCCGCCCCCTCCCCTCGTCTTTGGCGGCTCTCTGTGCTGCCTCTCCTCTCGCCGCCGCCTGACTCCTCCTCACTGCCGCCTCTCTCCTGCCTCACTGCCGCCTCTCTCCTCCTCACCCCCCGCCTCCTCTAGTCCTCTCCCCCGCCTCTCTCCTCCTCACCCCCTCCATTCCTCCTCCTCCGTGGCACGCGCCGCTACCCAGCCTCCATCAGCTACCCAGCCTCCATCCCTCTACGAGAGCGATCTCCCCGCATCTCCCCACATCTCCCCACATCTCCCCATGCCTCTCTCTGGCCGCAGGAGAGCGAGGTCGCGACGTCGGTCGTTGGGACCGACTTCGCCAAGCTGACGCAGACGCTGCACGACATCGGATGCTTCGACCCGCACTACCCTGACGAGGCTTTCAAGCTAGATCTCCCCGCACCTCCCCGTATCTCCCCGTATCTCCCCACATCTCCTTTACCTCTCCGTATCTCCCCGCATCTCCCCACATCTCCCCGCATCTCGCGATCAGGCCTTCAAGCTCGGCCTCACGCTGCTGCCCGGTTTCCTCGGCTTCTACCTGCTGCGGAGCGGCATGCCGGCGCTCGGATCCTTCCTGATCGCTTTCTCGTACTACATGTCGGGGTGGGGCCTCGCGCGCACCACCTGCACCGCGGCCTCCCGGGCCCTTCTCGGACAAGTCTGTGAGCTGCCCCTTGCAGGTGGACCTCCCACGATTACTTGCACCACGGCTGCCTCAAGGGCGGCCAAAAGCAGCTGGTGCACTGGAAC